TAGAAAACTAACTCGTTAAAAAAACGCTAACCAGAAAAAAATAACTCAAACCATTTAAAATCTGTCTTGGGAGATAGAAGGCCTTCATTTACAAGAACTATGACGCCTCATGATGAAAGCCGAGTTCCTTCGGAAGTCACGAGGCCGATGCCACTTCTAACAACCACAGCAACAATTTTTATAGGTACATGGAACGTCCGGACAATGTGGGAGACCGGGAACACCAGTGAAATAGCAACGGAAATGAGGAGATACAACTTGGCAGTACTCTGAATCAGCGAAAGCCGTTGGATCCAAGCTGGACAACAAAGGCTAAATACGGGAGAGATACTGCTATACTTCGGTCACGAAGAGGAAAATGCTCCACACACTCCGCGAGTTGCTCTAATGCTGTCCAAGGTAGCACGAAATTCAGTTGTAGGATGGAAGCCTCACGGATCCAGAATCATCAAAGCAAGGGAGGTAATTACAGTGAATGTTATCCAGTGTTATGCACCCACCAATGATAGCAATGACGACATTAAAGATCGATTCTATGATCGGCTACAATCAATCATAGAGAAGTGCTCAAGAAAAGACCTCACCATTCTGATGAGAGATCTAAATGACAAAGTCGGAATAGACAACACCGAATATTAAGATATCATGGGACGACATGGACGAACTGGGAGACAGAAATGAAAATGGAGAAAGATTTGCAGATCTGTGTGCTTTTAATAAATTGGTCATAGGACGCACAATATTTCCACGCAAATGTATACACAAAGCTACAAAGATCTCACCGGACCACACTACAGAGAACCAAATGGATCATATTTGCATCAATAAAAAGCTCCGAAGGACAATGGAAGAAGTGAGAACCAGGACAGGAGCTGACATAGATTCAGATCACAACCTAGTTGTGGCCAATTTAAAACTGAAGCTAAAGAAGAACGGGACAACTGGATAAACAGCACTACAAAGGTTCAATACAGCCTTCCTTCGAGATACTGACAAACTCAATGAATTCAAGATAGCTCTCAACAACAGGTTCCAAGCCTTACAGGATCTACTGAAGGAAGAAACTACTATGGAGGACAACTGGAAAGATACCAAAGAAGCACTAACTTCAGTGTGTCAAGAGGTTCTGGGCCTGAAGAAGCATCATCATAAGGAATGGATCTCTATAGAAACACTGGACAGGATCAAAGAAAGGAAGAACAAGAAGACAGAAATTAACAACAGCCGAACACGAGCAGAGAAAGTCCAAGCACAAGCTGAGTACATAGAAGCAAACAAGCAAGTGAAGGAGAGCATTAAAGCAGACAAGCAGAAATACGTGGAAGAACTAGCAACGAAGGCGGAAAAAGCTGCAAGAGAAGGAACTATGAAACAGCTTTATGATACAACGAATAAACTAGCAGAGAGATACAGTAAACCAGAGAGATCGCTCAAGGACAAAGAAGGAAGGCCAATCACTGAAATTCAAGAACAGCGGGACAGATGGGTATGATACTTCGAGGAACTCCTGAATGGACCGGCTCTAATGAATCCACCGAACACCGAAGCAGCACACACAGATCTTCCTATAGATGTCAATCCACCAACGACGGAAGAAATCAGAATTGTCACCAGACAAATCAAGAGCGGGAAAGCAGCAGGACCCGACAACATACCAGCTGAAGCCAGACATAGAAGGAACAACAAACATGCTTCACCTTCTATTCAAAAAGATTTAGGAGGAGGAACAAGTGCCGACGGACTGGAAAGAAGGACACCTAATCAAGATTCCAAAGAAAGGAGATCTGAGCAAATGTGAAAACTACAGAGGCATTACACTACTGTCAGTACTAGGGAAAGTCTTCAACAGTGTTTCTGAACCGGATGAAAGACGCAGTAGACGCCCAACTTCGAGATCAACAAGCTGGATTCCGTAAGGATCGGTCGTGCACAGACCGAATTGCGACACTACGGATCATCGTCGAACAACCAGTTGAGTGAAACTCGTCACTGTACATCAACTTGATTGATTATGAAAAGGCATTTGACAGTGTAGATAGGAGGATATTATGGAAATTTCTTCGACACTATGGAGTTTCTGAAAGGACTGTCAACATTATACGGAACTCATACGACGGACTACAGTGCAAAGTAGTGCATGGAGGACAGCTGACAGATGCATTCCAAGTAAGAACCGGAGTCAGACAAGGCTGTCTACTCTCTCCCTTCCTCTTTCTTCTGGTAGTCCACTGGATTATGAAGACCTCGACATCTGAGGGAAAAGACGGAATACAATGGACAGTTCAGAACAAATTAGACGATTTGGACTTCGCACATGGCCTAGCCCTCCTATTCCATACACACGAACAAATGCAGATGAAGAAAGCCAGTGTAGCAGCAGTCTCTGCATCAGTAAGCCTCAGTATACACAAAGGGAAAACTAAGGTCCTCAAATTCAAAGCGGAGAACAGCAATCCAATCACACTTGATGGCGAAACTCTGGAAGATGTAGAGTCCTTCACATACCTGGGAAGCATCATCGATGAACAAGGAGGTTCAGATGCAGACGTAAAGGCGAGGATCGGCAAAGCAATGGTCGCATTCCTACAATTGAAGAACATATGGAACTCAAAACAACTTTCAACTAATATCAAAGTGAGAATCTTCAATACGAACGTCAAGGCAGTTCTACTGTATGGAGCTGAAACTTGGAGAACTACAACAACCACAATCAAGAAAGTACAAGTATTTATAAATAGTTGTCTACGCAAGATACTCAACATCTATTGGCCGGATAGCATCAGCAATAGCCTTCTGTGGGAGAGAACAAACCAACTTCCAGCTGAAGAAGAAATTAGGAAAACACGATGGAAATGGATAGGACATACATTACGCAAATCGTCAAACTGCATCACAAGGCAATCCCTAACTTGGAATCCTGAAGGGAAGCGAAAAAGAGGAAGGCCAAAGAACACATTGCGTCGGATAATAGAAGCAGATATGAAAACGATGAATTACAACTGGACGGAGCTAGAAAGGATTGGCCAGGACAGGGTTGGATGGAGAATGCTGGTGAGCGGCCTATGCTCCTTCACGAGGAGTAACAGGCGTAAGTAATATTCGTTTCAACCTCACTAAGAGTTAGAGGACTGACATCAATTTTTCACTCAAGTTATTTAGAGGTGGGTGGGGTCGAAGGCTAGTTGGACTGTTCCCTAAAGCGTTATGCCCATCGGTTCAACCTCCTGGATTAAGAGTGAATAATGTTCTGCTGTTACCTATCGACGCTGTCTTTCCTACCTCTTTCGCTTTCGTTGCCCACCACTTTCCATGAATATTGTGTATCCTTTTTATCAGCCGGCGTTAAAGCTGGCTCTGCCCATCACTGTGTTTGGAGGCAGATGGGATGAGTTAATAGGTATATATCAGAAGAGGCCGCTAAATTTCACTGGTTTTTCTTAACCTTTTAGTTAAGGTGCTTCCATAGTTGTTTAGATATCATATCAAGCTACCTCGGGTTGGACATTACTTTCAAGGTTGACCAACTCCACTAGTTGTTCCTGGCATATATTCTTGACCTTTACCTTATTGAGTCGAACTCAAAGGTTTCTTATTGATATATTTCTGATCCATCCAGCCTGTATAATACATGTGATAATTATCGGAATATTAGTGCTACATAGTGTGTTAGAAATATGAAAAGGGAAAAAGAAAGATCCCAAAATATGACATATACAGTACCAACCAAATCACAATATATGAAGAAGCCCTGGATCAGGTGGAAACCTTTAGGTACCTAGGCAGCATGATTGACAAACAAAGGGGATCTGATGCAGATGTGAAGGCACAGATTGGCATAGCAAGGGAAACATTTCCAGTTTTAGACCATCTTAAACAACGCAAACGTCAGCCAACACCAAAGTCAGATTTTTTAATACAAACGTCAAGATAGTCCTCATATACGGAGCTGAAAAAAATACCGACGTGTCGTGACTTGAACACTATCAAAAGCACTGAAGACTAATCATCGTCATTTCCAAACAATAGAGCTGCTTTTGATATGATTGTTTAGAAACCGATTGTTGCAGGATGTATCTGAGATGCAACCTTAGTATTCAAGCCCGTTTGGAAATCACTTCAGGCAGAGTGAAGGCACAGAATCATCTTGCTTCGATGTTTCTATCCGACAGTAGGATTGGATAGGATCATCTCATCTCAGTATTTCTCTTTGACTTCAGGTGATAATAAACTTTGAGTGCAATGCGATAATGTAGTGCAGATCTTATACCTGGACAAAGACATCTTGACAATCAGTATGCGGATGACGCCGTTTTACTTTGCGATGTAATACAAGCTAACCAAGCAGCATCAGTTGTTAATCAATGTTTGTCAGTATGGTATTTACCTTAAACAACCGAAATGCACAGTACTCCCAAAAGAATAATGGTATTCTTAGCTCTCATGCACCGTTGGAAACGGTCTAGAAGTCCATGTGGCACAACTGCTTTACATACGTCACCTCAAACGTTAGAGAGGGGTTGAAATAAAGAGACTACCAGCTAATGGAGACGTAGATAAATGAAGACTATTCGCTGTATGTTAGCATTTTTCGGGTCATTAGGGTTCTGTAGGTGAGATCCAAAGATAGTAAATAACAGCGACTACATATATTATCACAAGGTTTAGAAAAGCCCGTGGTATTCCTACCGTAGGTCTCTTTTGTGTTTTTAATAACATCTGTTTTTAAGCAAAAATATCGTATTTTGGTTGTTTCTACTGAGGTTGTACACTAATATCTTTCATAATTGTATTAAACAAATCTTTATGTATTTGTTAACTCATCTGAATTATTGCCAAACTGTGTAGTACATTTCTTGGTACTTTTGTGCACCAAGCACGTGTTACGATCGAATAATGTGAACAATAATCAAATGTATCTGATAATTTACTCATACTAATAGTAAACGTTCCAAAATAAACAGTCAAAGTTATAACACAAATTACTATCAATTTTTTCTTACCTGTAATGACCTCATCAGAATACATTCACCGTGTCTACAAAACTGTTTGGGCTCAGAAGAGTCGCCACTATCCTGCTGATTGGGTGAAAGATCACTCTTTGAATCTGTTTGTTCTTGATATGAACAGGGAGTGACTGAAGCCAAAAACGGAGAAAAGTTATTTGTTAATGTCAATTTGGACTCCAGCTCTATGATATTTCTTATACAAGGAACCAACTTTGGAAACCAAAAGTTTGGCGAATTCTCACTAGCTGTACTGAATAAAGTAGGCATTGAAGAGAAAAAGTCAGGTTGACCAATCGGTTCATTTGACTGTTCATTCAAAACGTACCCCGACAGCTGACCTGATACAGATGGCTTATATTTTTTACATTGCTTCTTATGTTTTTTACCTAAGAAATGAGAATCCAATTGCTCTTTGGAAGAGCAACTAAGACCACAAGGTATACAGAAGTAAGGAACATTGTTGCTTTTATTGAATTGTTGCTCAACTCCAAACTGTTCAGACATAGAATTGTCAGAAGAAGAAATTATATTTCGCAAATGCTTTGATCCACTGCAATGTAGGGTATATTGTTCAGAAGAATTAAGGCTTGTATTGCACTCGTTACAGAAATAGGTAACTATAGCAACAATAGTTATTATTAATGTGAAGTGAGGAGCTTACTGGCATTGCAGTTTTTTCTATGATGTGATCCAGATATATGCTGGGAAAATGGGGCCTTACCGGTGCATTTCACATTACACACTCTACAAATATAAACTTCACCGAACTGAGTGTGCTCTATTCTGCATACATCGCCAGTTTTGTTGGAAAGCGTATCAGTAAACGGTGAGATTCGTAGTGCGTCCATGGAGGAAGTGCATAAACGTTCAGGTACTTCGGAAACAGTACATGAAGTAATCCTTTGGGTCATATTGAATCCTTCTAGAGATAAAAGAAATGGGTCTGAAGTGTCATATCTATCAACAACAGAAACTTTATATGTATATATGCGACTCTCGATAAGTGGTACTAAATCGTAAATTGATCTTACATATGTATATATAAACATATATTACCTTACTCGCTAATGTTGTAGATTTAGTTGTCATTAATTATTCATCTCATTCAAAGACGAGTAATAAGTTTGCTTACTCAGTCGAGGAAATGTCAATAAAGTGACTGTCACGAGACGAGTACTAGGACTGACACAGACCATCAAGCCTCCTGTCCTTTCAAAACTGAAGCTGAAACAACAATGAAAACAGCCAATGTACCCCAGTTAGTTTTTCTGTGAACATATAATTGGACTACTCTGAATATTATCGCGTATTTTGATAGTTGCAGAGCAACCACTCATTGTTTTTGAAACTGACGGCTTCAGACAGCATACTTAGCCAGTATCAGGTTAACTGGAAAATTTACTTGTCAGCAATAATTAGCACCATCGAATGGTGTGTATGAAAAAAACACACAAGAGCCCAACATTCATATCAAAATATCGGGATATATCGACATGTACACAGAAATAGGGACTATAACACCAGGAGTACGTATGTGTAGAAATTTATGTCAGAATACTTACGTACCAGTTGGGAAATGCGATGCACATAGAGATCCTAGAAATTCGAAAATACTTTAGTCGCTTTGAAAATGTTTCTACAATCTAATTACTCAGTGTGCGACCAAATCTATCACAACATCAGAGTCTATTTCCCATAAAACTAATTTACGCACACAAATTGAGTTGCTTTTATGAGAATACACACTATATTATTATGCTAAAACTAAGCGACGCAAAAACTATAAGTGGCAAACCGAGAGGAAGACATACTTATTTGCGAAGATATTTTGAGGTTTATGAGGTATAGTAAGTTTAGTTACATGGTATTATGAAGTGAAAGTGATCTGAGTGAGCCAAAACTACAACGACGCAAAAACGAGTTCACAGTATGAGAAAAACGAAATTGAGCGATATACACGAAGTACGAAATTGGAGCGACCATAGATTAACCATCGGTTGTGAAGGTAAGGCTCAACTACAATGGTGAGATTTATTTCACATTATATCCTACATATATCCCACATGGGATTTGAGAGTGGACTTCCAACATGACGAACTTGTGTTAATGGATTGGTACTCAGTAACGCTTCTTTATGTTAAGATACGGTTTTAGGATTCAGTAAGGTACAATGTGTGTAGTCTAGCAGCTAAACAGTACTAACCCTAATGAATTCGAGAGCTGATTAAGTTTCAATTTCAGTTTGGGAAGGATAGGAGGCTTGATGGCCTATGTTAGTCCTGGCAATGATGGTCTCTCAGTTGATTCAACTTTCTTTTGAAAGAGTCGACGGATGGAGCCCCAACCACGTGCTGAGGTAATGAATTCCACTCGTTGATGATTCGGTGGGAAAGTCGGTAGTCAGCTGACAAGTAATTTGTTCTGGGCTTGTGAACTTTTTTGGAGTGTCCTAGTAAATTCTCTGTTTTGGAAGACAAGAAAAATGAGGGCATATCAGGTGCAAATTTGCCACTAAGCAATTTGAAGACTGTAATCAAGTCGCCTCTAGTTCTGCGATATGACAACGGGAAAAGGTTTAGCTTGGCCAGTCGAGATTCATACGGAAGCTTCGCTATCCCGGGAATCAGCTTAGTTGCCGTTCTCTGAACCTTTTCCAGAAGCTCACTGTCTTTTTTAAGGCAGGGGCTAGCCGCTTGTATGCAGTACTCAAGTTTAGGACGTACGAACACTGTGTACAAAGTCAAAAACGTCTTGGCGTCGACATGACTAAAAGCCCTACATATTGACCAAAAGGTTCTAAGACCTTTGGTGGCTATTGCACGACGATGTGCAGTAGTCTTTAGGTCTTTGCTAACGATAACTCCTAACTCATTATATGTCTGGACGACAGGTAGATCAGTGTTATTCATCATGTATGTATCTGTACCTTGATGACCAATATGTGTCACAACACACCTGGAAGTATTTATCGGCAACTACCAGGTTTGAAACTATTCAGATAGCTTCTTCAGGTCATTTTGAAGTTTTAAGCTATCACTCTTACATCGTATCGTTCTCCATATCTTGACATCGTCAGCATATAGCAAGACCGATGATGATAGGAGACAAGGAAGGTCATTTACATACAAGAGGAATAGCACTTGGACGTAAATTAGTGAGTTTGTTCTGTAGCATTCAGGTTGCTAAGAGCATGGAACATCATGTCGACGTACAGGAGATTGAGTTGTAAAATGAGAGATTATAAAACTGAATATAGAGGAGAGAAGAGAATGGTACATGAAAAAGATGTGAACAGATGTCCAAGAATGACAGAGGTGAATCGAAATGAGCCTATTATATTAATACAAACAACAATGACAGTGGTGATGGTGGTAGTACTGGCAAGGTAAGAGACGTCAAATACAGATGTTCCAGGCGGACAGCAAGGCATGGGTGTGTGTATATGATCATCGAACCTAAAATTCTCGGTCAACAAACCCGATCGCTCCAAAATCAACTGTTTTGTAAGAAATATGTGTAATTTGCAACATATTTAAACCTTAAATGAGAATTCGAAATCGCAAAGCCATCTGCAACAACACCGCACGAAGTCAAGCAAGCGCCAAAAACTCAGTGGACAATGTCTACGAGCAAAAATATAAGGTTGAGTAACCTATGTTACTGCTCACAGATGACATAACTATAAATATTAAACCTTTGTTTGGATTTATTAACAAAACCCGTGAATAGAACCTATTCTATCTAAGAACTAGAGTAATTCATGTATAAATAAGAAAACCAATCTCCAGACATGAACTACATTTTGATTTTCGAACTTTCTGAGAATATGTTCTTAGATTACTGTTCATAAATGGAGGAGAAATAGAACTATTGGTGTAACCAAAGGTTATCAATTCGTCGAAGTAAACTATCATTACACTAGAACTTAACCTACTGTCAAGTATTGGAATTAGGTTAGGACGTCTCGACCTGCATGTCAGATACAGTCTTACATATACATTGCACAATATTCTGGACACGTTTTCATCCAGGTTACGAAACGCTACACAGGGTATTTACAATATCTAGGACTCATTGGCATCAAATGAACTACATGGTTCTTATATCGTTCTGCAATTCCACCTGGAACCTGTACACAGTTACTGCCAGTCCCACACCAGAGTAAAATAGGTGTGTTGAGAGTTGTGTCACAATGACCCTTCTTAAAAACCGAAGGGGCTTTGTGCCGCTAGTAAGGCAGTACTGTAGAATTACATTCTTACACTCTTCAAGATATTAACATGAATGGATCGCAGGAAAATCTTCCAACTCACAGAATCGACTTAAAGAAGGATGAAAACGCAGGTAAAAAGGGCAATAAATCCCACAAACAGGTTAGACTGTGCCCATAAAGCACCTAAAAGGTTGTTTCTTGTATGTGGTCACAAAGCATCATAATAATTCTAGATGATATTCGTCTTTGAAACTACATATGTCTGCACCACTACCCTTAATTTTAATTAATGCTGGCCTTCAGTTTTTATATGTACCACATACCGTACTCACTTTTATTATTTGATACTATTTATCGGCAGTTCCAGATTACTTCTTTATATAAGATTATCTTTACGCGTAATATACATGTTAAAATTGACCCAATATGCCCGTTTATGTCCTATTTTGCCTCCACAAATGTACTGACACACATTCTACATCTCTAATAAAGTCTTCCTGCCATTCTCCCCTCTTGTTTTTGACATCTTTACTAATACTCACAATACATTCACTCTTGTTTCAAACAGAGGTCTTGATTTCTAAGCTATCTTCAGCCCTCGGCCTTGATTTTTTCACCCATTTCTATTTCTGACATTTTATTCAGTCCACCTGCTACTTATAACTTTCTTATCATGTCACAAAAGAAAAGGAAGGCCTCTGTTTATAGACGTCCAGCCAAATGTGGGAAAAAGATACTATATAATACGACTGCTGACTCGATTTCTGGCAGTTTCAATGAGACGAGCTACCCCGTTCATCCAGAAGCAGACGCGTTTATGCCAGCTCTCTCCATTCCATACATCTTGAAGATTCTATTGGTAAATAATGATGGTAATCACTACTGTAACCCTATGGATGATATAAGAAATTTGCGAGTCGGCATAAACATTCTCTATCCGCTTAAGTACCTCGTCAACCCCGACCTCGCATGGATTCCAGAAGAATGACATAAATTGTTTCCCATATCGTGTTGCTTCAGAGGTGTTTCAAAGGATATTATGATCGGCGAGATTATAATTTATGGACGAACAAATCAGATCTAGGGTAAAAAGTCTCGGACTTTGGCGCGAAGCTCACTCATCTATATGTTTAAATAGCTTCTTGGCATTTTAGCTAATATCAGTTCGTGATGGAAAACCACAAATCTAATTACTAGCCCTAATAATCCTTATTCTTCAATTGCTTCATAACACTCATTTTGCCCTAGTAAGTAGGTAGACAATCTGAAGGTCACTCTGACGTCGCGCAGTCGTCGTCCATAAATTATACTCCACCCAGACAACCTAGCAATGCAATTATGTTTAATATGCCGGAAACATATGCCCTTAAAAATACCAAGTCTAATCTGCTTAGAGCCAGCGAGATGACACAAGTACAATATGTGTGCACAGAATTAAAAAGAAGTCACCCTGGTGTGTGCTCACCGATCCTGATCAAATTCAACTCGTCTGCTGACGCCAGTGAGTCTCTGACTTTCTCTAATTCAATGAGACAAAACAGATTTTCAAGGATTATAAGATTCTTCCTGACAGAACACCATGTCAACAAAAAGCAGGAAGAGCTAATCACAGACAACTAGCATCAAACTCCCAAACGCATCATAGTCACAAAGGTCATAAAATCGAGACCGATTCCAAGAAGACCTCTGGCTTTACAAATGTACCACCATTGATAAACTATCCTGACTCATGATCTTAACCACTGAAATTACTACAATATCCACAAAATCCATCTGGTATCAGTCAACATACACTCACCAGTGACCGGCTTCAAGAGATATATCCTGGAGTTCTAGTGAGACGTAGTGACCAGTGGAGCTCAGCCAGATCTGTTGTGAGATAGCAACTCACTGAAGATAACGGTGGATGTGTCGCTCAATTTCGTGGATTAGTTGAAGTTAGACATCGAAACTGTTGGATGCCGGCTCAGTGGTCTAGTGGTTGAGTCCTCTGGCGCGCGAAACCAGTAGGCCCTGGGTTCGAAACGTGCAGGGGCGAGGTCGTGGATGCGCACTGCTGAGTATTCTCACAATAGGACGAAACAGCCGTCCAGTGCTTCCAGGTTTTCCATGGTGGTCTAGCTTCAACTGACTCATGATCTTAACCACTGAAAAGGTCCTGGATTTCTTAAAGATCAAAACCCGGAAGAAAGTGATCCCAATGTATATGGTGTCCATCCTCCTAAAAATGTCAACTTAGACCTAACTCCAAATTCCGCTTGGAGCCCCTCTTGGGTCACTGACGACCCCAAGTTCGAGATGGTGGAGAAGATTTGTAACTCAGGTGGATGATTTCGGTGGTGTTTTGTTCTCTGAGCTGGATGGTTTGGTCGTGGAGCTTTGATCGTTCTTCTGAACGACATCATCAGCACAAACTTCAGATAGAAGTGAAGTGTTCGAATTTCTCCATATGTGTTTCGCAGCTTGTTCTGTGCACCTCAATGTTGATTGGTTCTTGTTGACCTTAAATTTATCATTGTTTACTTCTTTATTTTGGTTGTGTCTCCCATTGGTTTGATATTTGTTCCTATATTTATGCATGATTTTCCTGATTGGTTGATAAATTGGATTGATTTCAATATGTTTGTTGATTGCTGATTGACCTGAGTGCCAAGCTTCTAAAAATTCTCTGATGTTTTTGGAGTTTCCTCTGTCTAAGATTTCTACATTTTCCCAATCGAATGAATGTCCGTAGTTATCCACGTGTATTGATATAAGTGAAGAGATATCATGGCGTTCGACTGCTAATTGATGTTCATGTAGGCGTAGGTGGAGGGAGCATCCGCTTTGCTTGATGTAGTGTTTGCCGCAGTTGGTACAATTTATTTTGTGGATGGTGAAAGCCGAGTCCTTTCGAATGTTAGGAGGCTGATGCCCATTCTGACAATCAGAGCAACCACTAATTTACGTACATGAAACGTTTGTACGATGTAGGAGACCGGCAGAGTCATGCAAATTGCCTCAGAAGTGAAAACATACAGCCTGAAGGTGCTTAAAATCAGTGAAACACATTGGGAGGAGGTGGGACAACAAAAACTAGCTCCAGAGATGCTGCCATCATACTCGTGCGACGAAGAAGAAAATGCTTCGAATACACAGGGAGTTGTTCTGATGCTATCCAAACAAACAAAAAAGCACTTATAGCATTAGAATCTCATGGACCCAGGATCATCAAAGGGCATTACGATCAATGTCATCCAATGCTATGCGCCTACCTACGATTACAATGAGGACATTAAAGAACAATCCCGCGATAGGCTTCAGTCAGTCGTCGAGAAATATCCCAAAAAGTACTTGACCATTTTGATGGGAGACCTAAATGCCAAGGTTTGAATGAACAACACCAGATATGAAGACATCATAGGACGGCATAGACTGACTATGAGATAGGAAAGAAAATGGTGAGAGATTTGAAAACCTATGTGCCTCCAACACACTGGTCATAGACAGCACCATATTCCCACATAAATGCATCAACAAATCCACAAAGATTTCACCGAATCACATTACTCAGAACCAAATCTGCATCAATAAAAAGTTCAGAAGGACTATGAAGGACGTGAAAACCAAGAGAGAAGCTGATATAGCATCAGTTCATCACTTGTTGATTGCCAAGATGAAACTAGACAACGGGGTGGACAACATCACGAAAGTATAATACGGCTTTTCTTTGGGGTACTTACAGACTGAACGAATTCATGGCAGCCCTCAGCAATACTTTACAGGCCTGTCACGATGTACCCAATAAAGAGAGAACTACTATGGAGAGCAACTGGAAGGGGAACAAAGAGGCAATCACTTCAAAATGTCATGAGGTTCTGGGCCACAAGGAGCACCATCACAAGGAATGGATCACTGTTGATGCACTGAATATGATTCAAGAAGGAGGAACAAGAAGACACCAATCAGTATCAGCCAGACAAGGGCAGAGAAAATCAAGGCACAAGCTGAATACACAGAAGTAAACAAGCAGGCGAAGAGGAGCATCAGAACCGACAAAAGTAAATACGTGGAGGATATAGCAGTGATGGCAGAAAGGTTGCGAGTGAAGGAAACATGAGACAGTTGTGTGATACAACAGAGCAGCTCTCTGGAAATTATCATGAACCGGAACGAATAGTGAAAAGCAAGGAAAATAAAGTAATCATGAACCTTAAAGAACAGCAAAAAGGGTAAGAAGAGCACTTTAAAGAACTCTTGAATTGACCAGCACCACCGAACCCACCTAACATCGAAGCAGCGCTGACATACCTCCCAACTACTGTTGGCCCATCAACAGTTGAAGAAATCACAATGGCCATCAGACAAATCAAGAGCGATAAATCTGCACAAACAGACAATATTCCAGTAGAGGCACTGGG